CAACTTCAGGAAAAGTACCTGACAGTTCATGTTACTTAGGGTACCATTTTCAAGGCATTTTAGTCCTACAAGTATTTTTCTTACACAGATGTAGTCTTCTCACAACAGGGGACTGGGAACAGTGTGGGACGTTCACTCTAGTTAGGCTGTGCAAACAATTTCATTCAGCTTTCAACATTAAATGCTGTTACAATGCTTTGGTATAAAACAAACAATGTAAAAGCTGGATAATTACCAGATTAAAAACATTCCTCAAATTTATTCCTTTTTTTTTCTCTCTCAAAAATTAAAAAAAAAAAAAAAAAGGAAAGAATTTGTAGGTTTGATACTGAGGGCAAATGATACTGCACAAGACTTTCTCAACGGTATCTTAAATCCAGTAATTTTACTCTTCTTTGTCTACAGCATGGAAAATCAAATCTATGCATGCACAGCACTTGAACAGGACCCATCAAGATAGAGTTCAAGGGTGACTTTCAAAAACTGCACTGAAGCAACTGCTGGAAATTTGTGTTTTCATTCTATCAGACATACCTGTAGGCAGGGAAGGAGAAAAGAACAGCTCTCTGCAGCAAAGGAACAAACACAGAGAGAGCAGGGAGGTGATAAGGAGGAGAGAGATAAGAGATGGCATTTTAAACCCAAGAGAACTGCTGCCCCAGTGAAATGTATGCATATAGCTCTGCACTACCAAAGATCTTCTGTAAGAGTGTTACTGCACTGTAGTCACACACATTACAGACAAGGACTATCACACAGAGCACTGGTGTGTCAAGGTTCAGTCTCTTTAGACATCACATGGTCAATAAACCTCAAGGCCGCAGAATATGACAGGAATGAAAATTCACTGCAGCTTTTACCTTTAATGACAACTTGATTAGAAGCTATCTGAAAATGCTCCAAGAGGACCTCAAAACAGGTTACATAAAACACTAATGCATCAATAACAGTGCTTGTGTGATTGGTCTGATTCATAGGGAAGCAAGGAAAAGCAGCCTTAAAATGTAACAGAAAGGAAACAGCAATAAGCTTCATTTCCTAGATGTCTAAAAAGGCTGAAGAATGAGGGTTTAGTTATAAAGCTACTCTAAGGAAATATAGCAAAAAGGAATACATTATACAGCAAAAAAATTTACATGAAGAAGGCAGCAAACAACACGATCCAAGAACAACAGCTGGTAAAAGTGAAATCAGTTCTTTCTATCAGTATGGAACTCCTCCTTTCTTATTTAAAGAAAAATAAGTCACCATAAAACCATCTGCCTGCTATTTCTTACCTATGAAAATTCCTTTGTCAGTAGGATGAGGTCAAACCAAGCGGTTGATTACTGTCAAATATTATTGTCTCTTATCAGGAAATAAAAAGCAGTAAGGCAAATAGCAGTTAGTCGGACTAATAGTCAAGGTTAAACATTTCAGAATGCCTGTGGGATGTATGAAGAAACGTACTTAGCTAATAGGAATAACAGGACCTTGTGAGACTCGAAGAAGGGCAAGGATCACAGGATTCTTAGCTCATACAAACCATGAATAATAAATCAAATGAATCACATCATTGACTTACAATCTTCCTCATGAAAAGGACTTTGCTACTTAGAGCATTCAACGAGAGAATTCCTGTCCCTCAAACTAATTTTCTTTTCTCTGTTCTTTGCTTTGTGTCTCCCTAGTACACAAGCTGCTACAAACATAGGCAAATGCCACAGTTTTAGCAGAAGTTCCTGGAAGGAGCAATATCTTGGCTTGACAGCATGAATACAGACCTTGGGCTTCAAGGCTTCACCTGATTAAAACTAACAAGACAACTTTTTGCAAGGCAAAAACAGAACTAAAATCTCAAGGTACAGCTGAACTATAACGTCTGGAACAGAAGAGTGAGGCTTCCCACCCTGATGAAAATTTGCATTGTCATGAAAAGCAGATGCCCCATATCTGAGGGGCTCTATCAGCACTTTGGCCACCAGTTCTCCATAATTACAGTCCCCAAACACTGTCCAATTAGAATGCCTATCTCAATATCCAAATCCATTCACTGAACTAACGCTTGTTTGCATAAAAACCTGTTTACCTTCTTTCCATGGCTATGGATTACAATAACTGTAAAAAAAAAAAAAAAGAAAAATGATAAAGGAAGAACAAAAGTAGAGAAAATTAAAGGATGGCATTATACCATTCCAGTCCCTTGAACTGAAGACATAAAAATAGGAAAACTGCTCAATTTCTGAAAGTTTCTCCTCATTGGATTCCCCAGCCAATTAGCACTGTGCAGCTCACTCACCTTCTTCAGCAGCTACTCCTGATGTTCAGTGCCAAGTGGCTGCAGCAGTATTGCTGTGGTTCCAAATCAGGATAAACAAGTGAATTCTGCTGGGAACTTTGGGAATAACATGACATAAAGGAACCTTGTGAATAAATAAGCCATATCAGAACCTGAATATTTTTTTCCCCCACCATCTACTCAACAGACTAAGCATACACTAAATCAGACCATAAAAGCAGTGTTTGCCACCATACCTCCATTACCACTCACCTCTCCTGTCAATAACATTGAACTAATTCACCCATTCTCTCATGGGACACCTAGGCAATCTTATTTAGAATTCCACCTGCTCAAAATACAAATTCTGCATTTACAAAAGTCTCCAAAATACCTACCACACAGTTATAATCAAGTTATCCTGTCAGCGCAGGGCATTTAATAGCAACAACACCTGAAGTTCTATCAAAAAGTGAAAGCCAACACAAGGAGGAAAACTGTACATTAAGTTGTCTTACAGGGCAGCAAACTGTTAGATGACAGCAAAATACAATGTCAGAAACAACAAAAAAAACTTGCAAGGGTATAAGTCAGATTGAAATTAGTGGGGCTACTAAGATGCTACACATTGATTCAAGTACAGAAGTTGATGTTATAAAGCTTTTAGTATAAAAGTTACATATAAACCTTTATAACAGGTATGAAGTTTTTAGCTGTTTTTCTGTTGTTTAAATCAAGGAAAAGGATTTTGGTTGGAAGAAGATGACTTAGGACTGACAACAGCTGTCTTTATTCTAAATCATTTTAGGAATCTAGAGCACTTCAATATTTTGCCAGATTCTACCTCATGAAGCAGATTAAGGATTTTAGATGATCTGCGCTCTGGGTTGCTGGCTGCTTCCCAAGTTTTAGGCAGTTTAGTTTCTGGACTTTAAACAACCTGATCTTCTTATATTCACTATTCAGCCACTTTGTCTTTCAGCATCTTTCCAGTCCAGGCTGTACAAGCCGGCTTCTTCCTAGTCAGCAAGATGGATTAACCACTCAGGAAAGGGAAGCATATATTATTTAATCCTTATACACTCATACAAAATAAATTCAAATTCTGTCTAACAGAAAGAGAAAACAATCCGTAAACCTTAAAAAGAGCACTAAACAGTTTTCATTAAACATACTGCTTCACTTTAAATTACTCCCTATATTCTCTCAGGTACAGACTAGGAGGTAGTATGGCAAGTTATCTTATATGTAATGAAAACACCAAAAAAACCGAACAACCCATGAAGGATTTTTTCCTACCCTTAGATTTGGCAGTCGCCAGTAACTGTGTGAACTGTGGGTCTTGCGGTAAGCAGAATTTCTCACAAAGATCTGTCATTACACAGAGAGGAAGAAAGAAAAAGGTACATCACCCATTTAGACTAAAATGGGTTCAGTGTCCCCAGGCAGTACAGTTTCAATAATAAACAACAAGAACCAACTAATTCCTCCTTTTAAAACTGGTTTTCAGCCCTTCATGAAATGGTAAAACTATTTAGAAAGAACCGACATTATCTAATTGAATTGGGAGTGAAGACAGAACTCCAACAGGCAAACAACCTCAAATGCTGTCCTTCTGAGGACAAAGATTAATAGATACAGTAAGCGACACTCCCTCCACCGTCTGCATTTTCTACACAAGGCTGAGATAAAGCACTTGCACTGTACTAAGTCAAAATTCACTCCTGTATTTAGGGATATGAGTCACACTGTTGAAAAGGCTATCATAGTATTTCATGGAGAGAAGCAACAGAGCTTGTCAGGCACACAGCAGTGTAAATTCAAGCAACATAAATCTCAAGAGCGAGCCTTCATTTGAAGAGGTCTCTATTCCTGCCGTGGGTATGGAGAGAGACTAGCATATTGAGACCTAACAAGAATGAATTCTCTGAAGTTTCCTGACCTCACTGCCAGAAGGAGAAACCTGCCTTCAGAGGTGAGATCCACCTGGAAAAGATGGAACCTACACTCCCTACACTTAAGAAAGGCTCAGCCAAGACTTAGCTCCTGCAAACAAGGGGCCATTTACCTTCCCCCGCACGCACTGAAAAGTAAGTTCGCCACGGCCACACGACAGAACTCGGGGCAGACTCAGCGCGGTCTCCCGAAGCCGCCGTTTTGGCGGCCGAGCGCACAGAACGCCCCGGGCCCGCCGCGCCCTTCGCACGGGGCCGCGTCCGTGCGATCCCAGCGCGCAGCGCCGACGGGCGAACCTGGAAGCGGAGCATCGTTACATTCAGCCTCTCCGCCAAAGAACCTTCGGCCAAACGCTGCTAGCGACAGCGCGGCGAAGCCGGCAGGCGGGTGACAGCTTTCAGGAAGCCTCGTTCTCCTATTCTCTTCCTAAAGGCTTACAGAACCCCGCCGGCAGCGCGGACGTTCCGACACCCGCTCGCCGCCCCGCCGGCACTTCGGCCCCGCGGCCGCCCGTCCGCGGCGGTGCCGGGAAGGTCGTTACGCAAGGTGACGGGGGCGGCCGGGCCGCAAAGGCCGAGCCGTGGCCGCTCCTCGCGCCGCTCTCCCGGCCGGGCCGGGCCGCCCGAGGGTTGCGAGGGGCGATGCGGCGCCGAGAAGCGGCCGCCGCCCCGCGCGGCTGCGGCGAAGAGGCCGAAGGAGCGGCCACATCGCGGCCGCGTCGCCGCCGCGGCCCGAGGGGACGGCGGCCGCGCGCCCCCCGAGCCGAGCGCCTCCCGCTCCGCCTCACCTCCTCCGACGCCTCCTGTGCGCCGCAGCCCCCCGCGCCGGGAGGAGCGCATCGCCCATGGTCCCTCGGCGGAGGCCGGCGCGGGCTGGGCTGGGCTGTGCAGCGCCGCGCCGTGGGGGCCGGGCCACCCGAAGGCGGGCGGACGCAGGGAGCGTCTGCAAAGTGCCGGCCGCGAGCCCGAGCGAAGCGGGAACCGCGCGAAGAGAAGGGCGGGAAGGAGCGCGGCCGGCGGGCCGGAAGCGCTTGCGAGAGGCTGAGATGGAGGCAGGGAGCGCGTGCAAAGCGCGCGCGCGGCGGGAGCGCGGCGCCGTGAGAGCCGTTAACGGTCGTAACGGCCGCGCCCGCCTCGCGCCGCCCCTCAGGCAGCCCTCACGGTGCGGGCGGCCCGGGGCGGGTAGCGGATCGCAGCGCGTTAAAGCGCCGTCTTTAGAGCTCTTCTAAGCGATAGCAGAAACGGAGCTTAGAGAGCCATCGGTGCTGAGGACGCCGATGTGTTTTTATCAGAGGACGCCCACGCTGCGCGAGCGGCGAGACGGGATGTCTGCGGCGCGGCTCCCCGGGCGGGAGGAGGCGCGGGGCAGCAGCGGGCGGAGGGCGACACCTGGCGGGCGGCAGCGCCTCCCGCTGAGCGGCGGGTCCGGCTGAGGGCGAGCTTCGGTCGTGGTTTAACCGTAACCCCGGTAAGGAAAAGGAGGGATAGGTACAGACTGCAATAAGCCCGTATCTGCGTCCTTTGCGGCGTTCTTCACGTGCCGTAGAATCCTAGAACGGTTTGCGTTGGAAGGTTCCCCAGAGACGATCCGGTTCCAAACCTCTCCTGTTGTGGGATGGTTGCCAGCTACCAGCCCAGGCTGCTGAAGCCCCATCAAACCTGGCCTTGAGCCCCTCCAGGGATGGGGCACACACAGCTGCGCCAGGGCCTCACCACACCCCGAGTAAATAATTTCCTCCTAACATCTGACCTAAATCTCTGCTATTTTAGTTCAAAGCTGTTCGTTCCCCTTTGTTCTATTGCCGTCTACCTGAGTAAAGTGGCTCTCTCTCTCCTGCTTGTAAGCTTCCCTCTAGTACTGGATGGCCCCAGTGAGGTCTTCCCTGGAGCTTTTCCTTTTCCAGGCTGAACAAGCCCTGCCCTCTCAGCCCGCCTTCATAGACGTGCTCCAGCCCTCTGAGTGTCCTCGTGGCCTCCCCTGGACCCACTCCAGCAGCTCCACATCTCTCTTGTGCTGGGGGCCCCAGGCCTGGATGCAGCATTCCAGATGGGGCCTCAAAAGGTTGAAGCAGAGGGGGACGATACCCTCCCTTGCCCTGCAGCCATCCCTCTTGTAATGTAGCCCAGGATGGATTTGGTCTTCTATGCTGCAAGCACACATTGCTGGCTCAGAATTATCATAAAATGGTTATACCCACCCCCAGTAAATGAATAAATAAAATGTAGTAAGCGGGTATGGTTTTGGCAACAGTTCCCCCAGATCTTGGGCTTGGGTTGAAAGGAACCATAAAGGTCATCTAGTATATCTTCACTAGTGCTTAGTGCTATTCATTCTGGGATTTTCCCCAAGACAAAAGTTCATAATCCGCACAGCATGTGCTGAAGGACGTTTGCACACACAAACATCCTGCAATGTGGCCGTGCAGGTCAGAGTCTCCCTTTTCCCCCAGCATTATGCTGTGTTCCTGGCTGTAGGCTCTCCCTGTCACTTAATGAGAGGCTGGGGATTTGAACATTTTACAAGGCTTCCTGTGATCAAAGCCTTGGGCCTCTTTCTATGTAAAATGAGCAATTTTTTGAAAGAGCCACTGTGATTTGAAGTGTTTGTGGAACACAGGCTCTGGTAACAGGGAAACTAAGTAGGTGAAACAATGGTGTCTACTGCACTTAGATTCTTTTCCATTTATATTAGGCTTATAATTTAGGATGCTCATACAAAACAGCTAATCTAACCTTGTATTCACTTTGGAGTTTGATATGGTCTATTATTGAAATATATACAGAAAACAACAGCAGAGCTCCTCCCCAAGGCAACAATAGATCTGACTAGCTAATAGTTTTCTAGCCAAAGCATATCAGATCCTCAACACAGCATTAGGAAGTTACCCTATGCATTTTGCAGTGATTATATCTGACACAGCTGAATAAAAAATCTGACACAGGTGAGCAAAACAAGTGCCTCAATTACGTGAGAGCAACATAAGGTAGCAGACTCTCTGTTCCTTCCCTGGTGAAAGAACAGGTTTTCTTGGAGTGCAGGAAGCAAGAGGCTGAGAGGAAAAAAAGAATATTAAGAAAATATTAAGAGAATCTGAGAATAAGCTGACACTTACTTATTTGTTCCTCACTTCAGCATGTAACAAGTGAGCCAATAGTTATTCAGGTTTAGCTTTTTCAGGCCTATTCTATACTCAGTATAAAACTTGCAACAAAGCCTTCATCAATGTGCTTACTCATTCTCTGTGTAAAAGACTGTGGGTTGTGAAATCACCAGGTGAGCCTGATTAGAACCATTACAAGCAATTAATGCAATCAGGGCTCTGATGCTGGCGTCTCATTTTGCCTGTTTGCTTTGTAGAGTCACAAGTTCTCTTTATTTCACGATGTTGCATGCTAATCCTGTTACCTTTGGGTGTAGGGAGGAATTTGGTGGAATGCCGTATAGGTGCCTCTGAAGGGCACCTACCTGATCTGCAAGCTGCTAGGAAATGTGCTTCCACTGTGTGATGCTGTGTGTGTTCCTGGGTGTAACCAAATGTGTATCTGCAGTACACTCAGACAAACACCTGCTATGAGCCAACCTTTGGTTACTGAAGAAAGTACTGGTAGGTCTGTTGGATGTGTGAGAGCATCTAAATGTTGTGAAAGGCATAGTTGTTGTTAATGGAGGTCTTTCATTTTACTTGGAGGTCAGTCATATCGGTGAGGAAAACGTGTTCTGGTTCACGTGTTCTACACAGCAATAGTGATACTGTTTTTCTGCTCCATTTTGTGTCTGAAAGTTGGAAGTACAGCCGTGCCCAGAATTACATCACATTATCTCTCACCTACCTGTTCTATTTTTCAGCCCGACTTGTTTGAATAACGTAATAGTCTAATATGGGTAAACGTATCTAGAAAAGAATGCATGTTATAAGAGGTTGTGATTCTTCACAGGTAACATTACATAAAGCCTTCTTTAGGAAGTATGCGTAAGCTGTGTTTCAATTTAACTTGTAACAGTGTATAACAAAATTACAGCATGTGTACTTTATCTTAGCATTTAGTTTGCCTTTTCTAACAGCAAAATCTATATAGAAATATATGTTAGTAGAGAAAATATGCATGTAAAAATCTTTCTATATAGAAATAATTGGTATCAAAGTTTCTGCCTTTGTTCTAGTTGAAAGCTTTCAGTTGTCTCAGGTAGATTGACACAATGTTACATCATATTATGCTTCTGGGATGTACACAGCAATGAAACACTTGAATTGGGAACTAGAGGGAATTTACGATCTGCATCTCCTTTGATGTCATGTTGCCTGGGCTCTAGAAGGTCTCTGTACCTTCTCTGTAGGGCTTCTTATCCTCTTTCATAAACCTCCCAGAGCCTGAATAAAGGGTAGGTAGTTAGCTTTGCAGGCATGAAGGGGGCTCTCTGCTATTGGGCCAGGTACTCTGTTATTAGTGTTGAAAGTGACCTCAACAGCATAAAAAAAAAAAAAAAAAAAAAAAAAAAAAAAAAAAAAAAAAAAAAAAAAAAAAAAAAAAGTAGAAAGAAGAAGGAAAAACTACTTGAAACAAAGAGAAAATAAGAGACTTCCTGAGAAGTATCTTTGTCTCTTTATTGTCAAACACAACAGTGCCTTGTAGCCACAAGCCACAACATATGCTTTTAAAGGTTTCTTCTGTTTGAGGTCTCCCTCAGCATAATTGATACAAAGGAATTTACCATAAAATGAGAGAAAACCCAACCTCTATGAGCAGAAAATACATGTGATCTTATTCAAAGAATATATCCTGGTGGTTTTTGGTTTTGGTTTTTTGTTTTTTTTTTTGTTTTGTTTTGTCTGAGTGCAATTTTCTCAGGATCTTCTCTGTGTCTTATGATATTTTTTTAATATTGGACGTGACTATTTTAAAAGGTGTTATAAACTCTGCTTAGTATGAAATATCAAACTCATTATTGTTTGACTCTTGCCTTTGAGGATTTAGTTCTCCCTTGTTCATAGATGTAACAACTGAGTTATACAGTTTTCTGTCACTAAAAAAAATTGATATTCCAACAGATCTTCCCATTACCAGAGACATTATAAATATAAATTGTATCTGAACAAATATTTCTAATAACTTTGAATTAAGTTATCACACTGGAATTAAACCATTGCTTTTAGTTACCAAAATAGTGATTTCCAGTAGATATTTATGTGTGCAATTAGTATATTGAACAGCTCCCTTTCTGTGGGATAATTATTTGATGTTTATTTTTTTCTATAGCTCATGTTGGCATTTCAGTACAAAGTAACATCAAATGGGAAAATGTCATAGGTACAGTGTAAATTTGATAGATCTGATTCCTCATTGTCTTGTTCTCTTTATGGTAGTTAGTAAGAATGGTCGTATTTTACATCCACCTCCCACAGGTTTGAATGTCTTCTCAAGGCAGAAGTGATAATCTGTATTCTCATTTGAAGGCAAATTGAGTGGTTTATTTTAGAAATTTCATTGGACCTGGAGGAATTAAAGATGTTACTGAGGAAATAAGCTACTGCCATTCAAGGAGGTCTACTAGAGAGACATTGTGACAGATATGTGATGAAGGCAGAGAATGAGTAAGACCCAAGAAGAACAAAGGCAGTAAGAACGTAACAGAAGATTTGGATGGGTTATTTGTATTGGTATTCATTACTGAGGATGTCATTTTGGGAGTTTCTGGTCCAGTATAATAATTGTGGAGCAATTGTCTCAAACTGAAAAATTAGTAATTTTCAGATTGAATTAATAAAGTAAATAGTACCAGGGCTAGGTGGTGTTTTAAAGGAACTGAGGTAGGGAATTTCTGAGCAGTGATCTCTGGTATGTTGCCTACTCAGTCTCTTTTCTAATTATCAGAGGCTCTGATTTCATAAATGACCATTTTAACTCTGATAATTAGAAATGAATTGCTTAGTCTGACTTCTGTCCATGATGAATTGGTTAGCAACATAGAAACATTGTGTGTATATGTATATATAATAAATTAAAATTAGTCCTCTCTGGAGATAAACAATAAGCTCATAGGTATGTTGGCTTTTTGAGGAAGTCTGTAACTATTTCTCTGATCTGGATAGTGCTCCTTGTTCAGGTAAAAGTTAACTTTTTAACAAAATCTTGAACCAAATTCAAGTGACTTAAAGAAATCAAATCACCATCAGATGTATCTTTTGAGGCTTAAAAGAGTGGGGTAGGAAAAAAACCCAGTGGAAAACAAAAGCAGAATTATGAAATTATGAATGTGGGATCTTTTTTTTTTTCTTTTTTCTTTTTTTTTTTTTTTTTTGCAGTGGAGGGATTTTATCTTTGGAATCTCTCAGGACCTTGTTTTGTTCCCTTGCTTTTCAGCAGATTTGTAAATAACATGAAAAGGGAAGGAATATTGGGGTGACAACCGAAAATGATATAAAATTGCTAAGGATAGTAAAGCCTAAAGCTGATAGCAAAGTGTTGCAG